GCAAAATGCAGGGAACATAGATTTAGAGTAGGAAGGATCCTCAGAGGACATTTAATCCAACTTTGTCATTTTAAAAATGAGGAAACTGATACCAAGAGAAGTTAAATGACTTGTCTAAGGCAGAGGTTCTCAAACTTATTTGGCCTAACACCCCTTTTAAAAAAAATTACTCAGCACCACCCTGAAAATCTCTTTTCTTTAAACCCTTAATGATTTTTTTAAAAAAATTGTGTCATTTCAAAAAACCAATGTTTTTTAATGATACATTTTAAATTTAATCATTTATTGTAAATTTGTGGGGGTTTTTCCTGCATTGAAATTTTGGTGATGCAATATTGCATCATGTAACAATATAGTTTCATACTGTAAACAAGTCATTACACGCACATATTCATGCCGACGCCTGCTGGACTTCCCAATGATGAGAGCTTGCTTGCCTCCCAACACTTGCTTGTTAAGACCTGTTGGTGGACTTGACCACTGATAGGTTTATAGCTTGCACTTTGTGTGTTTATTTCGAAAATAATGTAATCACTACAACTTTAACTCTGTCACATAACAGATGAAACATGAACCAACGTTTGTTTTAAATTTTCTTATCTTCTCTTTCCTTATGCTTCCAAAACTCCCAATTGTACTGGAGGCTACTGTCCCCCTGGATCATTCCAGCAACCCCAGGGGGCAGTATCACCCACTTTCGGAATCTACGGCAGGTAACACAAGTAGCAACTGAGAGAGACAGCATTTGAACCACCATTCTCCACCACTAGACCCAGTGTCTATTTCTACTCTACTGTGCTTCCTCCCTAGGGCTTGGACTAGATGATGCCTAATGTCTCTTCCAGTCCTAATATTCTATGGTATAATGATAGTTTCTGCATGGAAGAAGAAGTACCTTTTCCACATGAGAACAAGAATTCTTTCTTTCATTCTTTTGATGCTTACTTGTCTCAAAGATGCTCCATTAAGCAACAAGAATTTATTGACAAAGCCTATTAGCATTGTGCTGAGAGAACAGTTGAATTTTTTTTTAAGAGCTCTAAAAAGCTGGGTTCTGTCCTCAAGGAGAAAACTAGTGTTTTTTTTTTAAGGGGGGAGGGAAGCAAACACACCTGGAATAAATAAAGGGAAAAAAGACCTTATATGATTAAGTTTCTAATTATATGGTACACATGTTAAATGCTCTAGGAGGCTAAATAAATACGCAGAATTCCTAAAGCAAGGCTTTTTAATCTGAGATCCATGGATCTCCAGTGGGTCCATGTATAGATTTCAGGAGTCTGTGAATCTGGATGAAAAAAAAAATCTTTATTTTTACTAACTTTTAACTTCTCTGATGTGTCAACATCATAAGACTCAGAGCTAAAAGAGATCATAGGATCACTGATTTAGAGCTGGAAGGGCCTTAGAAGCTACTGAGTTCAGCCTCCTCAATGTACACAGATAAGGGAACTCTGGCACATAGGGGTTAAATAACTTGCCTAGGGTAACATAGCTTCTGAGTGTATTGTGTGAGGTGGAATTTGAACCCAAGTCTTTCTGACTTCAGTTCCAGGACCCTATCTACTACTAAGCTGTGGTGCCCTTCAGATGCTCTAATATCCTAGCCGTGGCTTTTTGCTTTGTACCACCATCCCATAGGGCTGATGATGCTTCCCATCTGCTAGCCTTCCCCTTTAACACTGGCATTTTATTAGGAGCTCTGCCTTTGTTTCAAAACATATTATGAAACACGTTCTCTACATTTACTCTGTCCCTCAGCAAGGAGAACATTTTTTGGTCAGGAGAACTGACCAAATGGAAAAATGGCTACTCTGCTGAATAGTCCAACGGAACCAATGTGCTAGACGTTCATAGTGCAGATCACTAGGGCTAATTTCTTGCCCTTTTTTTTTTTAGTGAAGCAATCAGGGTTAAGTGCCTTGCCCAGGGTCACACAGCTAGTACGTGTCAAGTGTCTGAGGCTGGATTTGAACTCAGTTCCCCCTGACTCCAGGGCCGATGCTCTATCCATTGTACCACCTTGCTGCCCCAGCTAATTTCTATTGTTAACATCTTTCAATGTGGTTTCCTCAGTTAAGAGATTTTTACTCATTCCCCATAAGCCCCATGCAGTGTTTATATATAACACTGGGCTCTCCTGAACACATTGTTCGTAACTGAGATGAGTCCTTTCTTTTTCTTTTTCATCTCTCTTTGCTTTCATGCCATGTCACTGTGAATATATAGCCATAATTAGATCAAACAATTGTTTTCTTTCCAAACTTTACTTTCCATGTTTGGCATTAGGATCCAGAAGATTCATATACAACAAAAGAATAAGAAGCTTGGGGCTGTGGATGTGAAGTTACAGCAATAAAACCCTAGAGGCCATCTGGTCCAACCCCATAATTTTACTGGGGAGAAAACTGAGGCCTAGCAAGGTGAAATGACTTTCCCAACAGGTTGTGTCAGAGGGGTGATATTTGAACCTGAAGACTCCGACTCCAGTATCAGCACTCTTTACCAAAATTCCTACAAACATGATTCAACATGGAGTCATCTCTCCAAAGGCAAAGTTCATTAATGGAGATTAAGCCATAGACATTTAGACAATGATATGCACTATTAAGTGTCTAGCTAAGTCTTACCTACTCCTTGTGAGAATAAATTATAGAGATCAAGAATCAAATGAAGACTGATCCCAAGTTTGCTTCATACTCTCCCTGCTTGTTGTATTATTCATCCTTGACAGTGATTCAATCAATTAAATGGCAAAAGAAAAGAAAACAATACAGGATTTGCAGGGGGGAAGGGTGGTAAGTCATTCTGTTGCAACTGGCTTAAAGAAAAAAAGTGTAATTTTAAGTACTTCTAACTGCATGTTGCTCTTATCTACCTACTGTATTAAAATTTTGATTATATCATGTTTTCTATCTTCAACAAAAGAGAAAAGGGAAAGAGAAAACAACAAGATTCTCAACAAACCCAACAAAATATCTTGATTCCAGTTAATATCTATCTGCCCCAGTGTTAGGGAAGTATGTCCTAGCTTAGCTGCATATTTCTTATTAAGTTTATTTTCAGAAAACAAGATTTGATAAATACTTTTCAAATAACATTATTCAGTGCTTTGACAAAAAGTCTTCAATATGTTAGCATGGGTACAATGAGGGAGATCCCTCCCAACTATACAATTCTAGGATTCCATGAAATACTCTTTTTCATCTTTCTGCCCCAAATAAAAATGTCCAAATTACTGTGGGAGATAGTGTAGTGTAGTATGTAGTGTTATTAGCAGCTCTAACCTGTCATTCTTTCCAGTTCCCTGTGTCCCTTCCAGTTTCAGTGTCCTCCTCATCCTTTCCAATGTCTTCCCTGTCTTTTTTTCTGTAACATCTCCACATCCTCAAGTTATTCCATCCCCCTGCTTTTTCCTCTTCTACTTCCTCAGTCAAAAAAGGAAACAAGAAATTTTAAGTTGCAAACTATCCTAAGTGATAAGGGCAGACAAAATAGTATTGAAATTTATTTATTTCTATCATTAACCCCCTTTTTGGGCATAGGATATTAATTTTTCTTAGCTATCTTATAAAAAAATTATAGTACTTGACTAAATGTAGATTTGGCTAGTATTGTCAGCATAGTCTCAGCGACAGTATGTATTTTAACCTCTTCTCCTCCTGTCTATTTTACAACAGAGTCAAGATCACAAATGGATTTGGGGGCGAGTCAGCAGAAAATTCTTATTGGAGATTGGAGAAAAGGCTGAGAATTGAGGTTATGATGAATTTCTACTCTCAGTAGGAAAAAAAACCCACTAGGATTCACATTTCAGATTAACTTCCATCAAACACATTTCCTCTTTTATGGCTACCAAAAAGCCTCCTCCTCCCCTAGAACATAGACTTACCTTTTCTCACTGGATGGTTTTGACGCTTGTCCTTTCAATCCACACAGTTTGTAAGATCAGAGGGAGTACAATTTTGATCTAAAGGACTGGCCAGGAAACGAGACTGATCCATGCCTGCATTCTGTCCGTTTCCTTCATCCTCCCCTTTGAAGGAGAAGGAATTTAAACTATCCTACTTCCTCTTTGCAGCGCTATATCACCTTCCTTTTCCCCCTGCCCTTTCTCCTTTGGGTGCCATAAACCTGTTGGCCCTTTGTACTGTCTGCAGCAGCTGTCAACAGAAACTAGTCATCCTGGACTCTTTCTTTGCCAGTTATATCCAGCCTCCTCTTAACTCTTCCAATCCATTCTAGCTTTTAGTGGAGGGAAGAGGCTGTAAAATTCCGAATTTCATTCATGCCTAACCCTGTCTCCAAAGTAGAACTATAGGGAAAAGCAGAACTCTGCATGATTCTACCCCCACTGCAAACCTCGTGGCTGGGTTCCGGGCAGCATGAGCCAAGTACAGCCCTAATCGCGAAAAATTACAATTCCATTAGGGGAAAAACCCGGGATTTTCCAGTGACCTGCCAGAGTGGGGTTTAAAAGGGCGCCCTGGGGCAGCGGCGCTTTCATTTCAGATAAGAAGCAGTCGCAGAGCTGCGGCAGCCCGCCCCGCACGTCGGGTGCCAGTAAGAAAGTAAGCAGGCACGGGCGCAGGAGTCAGGAGACTGGAAAGGTTCGGTGCTAGGTTTCTGGTGTGGGGGACTGGGTAGTGGGTTAGGAGAGGGAGATGGGCTGCAAGCCGAGACCGGGACTGGGCTGGAGGCTGACCCCGCTGAAGGGTCGCGGGCTTTCTCCGGGCGGGAGGAACAGGCTACCGGAGGGCGCAGCTCCCAGCTACCCTTTGCTGCCCGCCAGGGGAGGCGCGGCCCCAGGTGTGAGAGGCTGCACCTCGCGTGCACGCCCGCTCGCCCGAATCGCGGGCTGGGAAGAGGAGACCCTGGGCTCTCAGAGAGTGCAAAGTGCGAAGTGGAGCTGCAAAAGAAAATCGGTGGTTCGGGGTGGGGGCTGCGCCGAGCCACCGGGCGCCCCAAGGTGCACGGGACGCAGTACCTGTCACGCTTACCATGGAACATGGTCTGCGTGCGCTGCAGGAGCCGGTTGCGGTCATGTTGGCGGCAGCAGAGTCTCATGGCCCATGGTGGCCGCCTGCCTCCGTCTCCGCCTCCTCCTCCGCCGAGGTTCACAGGAGTGTGCACTGGGCCAGACGGGCTCTACAGCTGGCTTGTCTCACCCACGCCGCGCCCGCCGCTTCATCCATCCCGGGGGGGCGGTGCACTCCACCAGCGGGTTCTGGGCTTCGCTTGCTTTTTCCGTGACTTCCGTGTGCCCGGCCAGCGGTCTACTTTCAGTTTCTACTTTGGGGCTTGTTCTGACGGAGTAAACTTCGGGTTCATCCCTGGGACGCCTTCCTCCCGACCTGGTCCCTTCTCTCTTACACTCTCCTCTCTCTCCCTTACATCAAGAGTCTTACCCGCGTGGCCCGAGCACTTCTGGAGACTTTCCAAGCAACTAACTCCAGGAGAAATTGTTGGCACTAGAAAGTGATAGCCCCGTTATGAATTAGAGCGATCCGGGTCAGTCTTCCCAGATGACCTCTATCACATTAACTAAATACTGGGAGGCTGTGGACTGAGGGCATCTGTTTTTCCTGTGGCCAGGGAAACTATTTATACAGCATGCAAGGGTGGAATCCCAAGAGCTAGAGAAATCAACTTTACCAGTCTGCTGCTGATGCTTTGGGAATTCCCAAGCTGTCCAGTGAAAAGGGAAGGTTGAGTAGGATTGCGTGACTGAAACTGGTTACACTCTCTTGTCCACCCTTAAACTATATCACTTTACATGCTGAGTTCTGTAAATGTATCCACTAATGGCTCCAGAGTCTCAGAGGGGCGTATGCCTCATCCAGAACATATGGATATCTTTGATCCATGAGTCTTAGTCCAAAATAAAATGAACAGGGAAAACTCTCTCAAATACAAATTTGTCTTAATTAACTTTAATTGAATCATTGAGATGTTTATTAATTTTTTCTTTGAGTTTTGAAGCCTATCTTAAATGGAGATTGTTTTATTCTTTACATACCCAACACTTAGCACTATCCTAGGCTCCTAGTAGGCACTTAATAGATGCTTGTTGATTGATGTGGGATAGAAGGTCAGATTTCTAAATACTTAGTAACTGAGTGTGATTGTAGTGGAAAGAACACTGAATATGAAGTTCAGCTATGTGTATTATAATTCTAGCTACTTAATTGTGGGATTCAGGAAAAAGCAACTGGCACTACACTATCTCAGTTTCCTCATCTAGCAATTGAATTCAGTGTATTTAGATGGAACTCAAGAGGCAAATTTGACTTCATAATTATCTCTACAACTTGGTGGCTTTGGAAGTATTTGCTTTATTCAAAAGAAACCAGATAGTAAAACTTGGGGGGAGGGGGTGGTGTTATATATTAGGATATTCTTTTGTCAAGACATTGACAAAGCAAAGCAGAGTAGCATTTGAAATAAGATCAATAGGGGAGGGAGGAAAGTGATATTTTAATAAGTGTATTACAGTTTACCTGGACAGAAAGAGGAACAAGATGAGGAATTTGAAAAAACAGATCCCAAGCCTGTCACAGAAGCATGACATGGTAGTGGAGATTGAGGGGGAGAAAGGCTTCAATTACCTGGGCATAAACTAGCTCTTTCCCTGTCAAAAGCAGAGCAGCTAATAATTTCTTGGGTTGTTTTAATGGTAATCTCATACTTCAAAAGGTGGAGGAACCAATCTGGGTAAATTTTATTTTGGGATCTGATATATACTGAAAGAGAACCTGGTTGCTGGGATGGAAATTATGGGAACTTTGGGGGCATGGAACTGATAGAATTTGTGATACAGAAGGAGAAGAAAACTGAGATGAGTTTGAGATTCATCCAATATTTTTGGAATAGAGATTTTAAATCCTTTCAGAAAAAGTATAGACAATATGCCATTGACTACAATTCTACAGAACAAGTGAGGCTAGTAGGGATGAGATGCTAGCTAGAAGGAACTTCTGAAAACAGAAAGAGAAAGACTTTAATGAATGGACAAAAGAGAAGTGATTAATGAGACTGATGTGAATGTGTAAGAAACTCACTAGTCAACTTGCTTTAAAATAAAGGGTATCTTTTGTTTTTATGTTACCTACATATCCAAATCCACATATCCTCCCTTCTCAAAGTGCTATCCCTTGTAACAACGAATTAAAAAGGCATGTGCTGGAGGGCAGGAAGGTATGAACAATGAACCAAGATATAGAAAAACTCAAACATATGCAGTGTTCTTCACCATAGATGACTTGCCTTAAAAAGATATGTGAAAAAAATGGAAGCAAGAGAATAAATACAATAGAGTAATAAGATCCTGTAAAAATAGTATCTGGGGTCCAAAGCTCAGAATGAGCAAAGGCTAGTAAGGGAAACTAAAAGTAACAAAGCAGTTTTTTTTAAGCTGTAGTTGGGAAAATAGGTTCAGAAAAGACTAGTACTGCTGTTGATGTTGGATGGGACAATGACATTGGATGGCAGAGAAGGTGAAACTACTCAACTCATTTTCTTCAGTTTTCTCTATGAAGGAGAGTAATCTTTAGAATGGAAAAGAAAGAAAAATACTTTTAGAAAGTTGATCACCAGTATAAGTAAGGGGAGAGTAAGAAACTGCTTAACTAGATTTCAATTTGCTTGGGTTACTGAGCGAACCAGGAGATATGATAGCTGAGTCACTAAAAGATCATAAAAAACTGAAGTAAAAGAAAAAAAGCAAAAAAAAAATGGAAAAGGGCAAGTTTTATCTCAGTTTTCACCATAAGAGAGAAAATAGAATCTTGCAAACTCTACAAAGAGAAATGATGCAGGTGAGTTTGACTTCAGTGCCTGGAAACATTCTAGAATGTGTATCATTAGAGCAATTGTTAGCAAATATTTGGAAAAGGGAGCAGTGATCAAAAGGGCCTGCATTTCTCTAGCAAAAGTATGTTATACCAGACTCCAATTTTTTTTTAAAACAGTGCTTAGAATGTAGCTGGCATTTAATAAATGTGGATTGATTGGTAGGATGTGGAAAAGATATAGATGAGGGTTGGATAGTAGGATTAGGTAGATTTAGATTGATTGAGCAGACCCAGAGAGTAATCAATAATGGTTTGATGTCAGCTTAGCAGAATGTCTTCAGAGGAGTACCAGAGATATCTGCTTGATCCTGTGCTACTTAATACTTCTTTTTAATCAATGACCTATATAAGGTCATAGATGGAATGTTTATCATATATACAGATGACACAAGGCTGGGAGGGATAGCTAACACATTTGATAACATTCAGGATGCAAAAATATTTTGACAGGTGAGAACATTAGATCACTCTGGATAAGATGAAATTTAATAGAGATAAATAGAAATTAATAGAGATAAGATTTAAAGTAATAGAGATAAATAGATATAAAGTCTTACACTGGCGTTTAAAAAATAAATTTCCCAAGTGTAAGATGAGGGAGTTGTGGCCAAACAGCAATTTGTCTGAAAAATATGCAGTTTTTAATGAACTTCATCATGTCAACATTGTGTTAAAGCAACCAAGAAATCTGTAATCTTAAGCTGCATTTGGAGAAGTGGGGTAACCAGAACTGGGAAGTGATGGTCTTCTCTGCCTTGGTCAGACCACATCTGGAATATTACCTGCACTTCTGGCTACCAAATTTTAGGAAGGATATTGAGTAGGGAAAGAGCCTGAGGAAGGTGAAGAGTATGCCGAAGTATCTCAGGATCATGTTGCGTGAGAATATGATGAAGTTGCTGAGAATGTTCATTCTGGAGAAGAGAAGGAAGGCTATACATAATAACTTTCTTCACATATGTGGAAGAGGGATTAACCTTGATCATTTTGGCTCCAGGGGAGCAGAACCAAGAGTTGTAGGCAAAATTTGGCAGAGATCTATTTAAACTTGATGTTGGGAATCTCTAACCCCCCAAACCCTGCCCATAACTTCCTAACAATTAGAACTATCTCCAGGTGAAATGAATGAATTGCCTCAAGATGTGGTAGATTTTCCCTTCCTGGGTATTTATAAGCCTTCTGGATGACTTCATGTTGGGTGTGATGTAGAAGGGATTCTGGTTTGGGTCCAAGGTGGACTAACTAGATCAAATTAAGGGCTGTTAAGAGGTCCCCTGAACTTATCTTTTTGAGTTACCATATTTTCTAGAAACATTGGACCCAGAACATGCAGGAGGCCCTGAATGCCTGAATGTGTCAAGGATGAAGCACCCCCCCTCCCACACAGCTGACATAAGTTGTTGTTTGTACCCCAAACTGGATTCCTTGTATGTCCTTGGGAGTCATGATAGGCACCAGCCAGTCTGGGAAAATGCTTGAGCAGCTGAGGTCCTTTGCAGATTTGAGGCCCCTTCCATCTTCATAATCTAGTTGTTCCTAAGGGAAAAGAATGAAGCTTTTGCCATCACCTTACTTCTCCTCTTCAGGAGGGTTTTCCCCCTTTTTTCCACCTTTACTACACCTTCTCCCCCGATGCCACACCCCTTCCTGTTTTCTCCTCCTCCTTTTGCTGTACTGTCATAAATATGCAAACTTCTGTGAGCTCTTTGGGTTCCACATGAATGTTCATTTCTCTTTTAATAAACTGGTTTTCACATAAGTCTTGTGATGTGATTGCCTGTTGGTAATAGTTAATGAAGTCTCTTTCAGCTCTGAAATTTAGTGATTTATAAGATCAGAAGATCTAAACACTTTAGAATTCAGAGAAGGTGATTGTCTTATACTTGTGGGTAACACAAGGATGAAGAAATAAGTGTAGAAGGAGAGACAAGTAGAATTAATGTAGATGTTCCTGGGGGGGGGTAAAAGGCATCATAGTGAAGGGAATAATAAAAATAATAAAAGTTAATTACATTCAGAAGATGGTATTGTAAAAATATATGGCACAAAATATCCCCCATTAACCTGAGATGGACTCTCTTTTTTATACATATAAGGTCCATAGTGAGAGTGGTTCTAAAGCAAAGTAAAATGCTGCACATTTGTAGAGAACACATGTGGCAAAGGAGTACCTCCCACCCCTGGCCCTGGAAGTCCTTTGTCAGGGAGTGGCATCTTTGCTAGACTGGTCATCTGATGTTGAGCCAAGCTCTTTTTCCACTGCGTTGGGCTACTTCACTGCTGCTGGTAATATTCCCCTGCTTTCTGTTTCGAGGAGAAGAAAAGGTGCCAGCAGTTTCCCTGTGAACTCTCCAAACTTTGTAATGCAAACAAGCTACCAAGAATGCTGCCTGTGCTCATCTAGCTCATGGTTGCTTTTTAGTTATCTCCTGAATACTGCTGTTGACTCTGTTGGACTCTGCTGTTGAGTCTCTGGGCAATCCTG